TATCTTTGGCTATGTGTATTTTCACCAAAAAAAAAAAAGTTGAGAAGTTAGAAGGTTGATATATTGTGGGGTTGTTAACCAATGTCGTAAAACAACATGTGTACTTCTGTTTCGTGAGAAACTATTTGTTCTGTAAGCCTTCACCTGAGGTACAATAAATAAAGAAAGAAAGAAATGCTGTCTTACTTGATTCTTATATTTTAGATGTGAGTGGCTCTTTGATTAGTATCAATAAATCTCAGATTCTAAATGATAAAATCTATTATAAAGATTGTGTAGATTGAAAATAGTTGTCCAAACTCAGATGCCAAGCAAAGGCAAAAATATAGATGAGACACTGACTCTATCTTTTCTGAACAGTTCCAGATAACACCACCAAAATATTTAAAAAAGAGCGATTTAATATAATTGATACCTATAAAATACAATCAAAACCCTACCATAGACAATGATTTAGAAGAAAACTGTTATGCTTTCTCAGAATTATTAACACTATTTAATACTAAATGGATTTTATAGATGTCAGCAAGTATTAAATCAGGAAGAATTTCAAATAATATAAAATCATTTTTAAATATTATAGTTTCCCAGAAATACTTCTTTTTTCTAGACTCAGAGTGAAAAACAACCAAAGGTCATAATAATGTCATCCTGAACTTTGCCCAAAGGCATTTTGGTGGCAAAAGTTGTTTAATTTAGGATTGATCATCCAGTCACGATAGATGTTATTAAATATAAAAACCTAGTTCTTTCTCACATGGTAGTGTCTAATTTTTAGGTGCTTGTGTTTAGCATGGGTTTATGAACTTTTTTTCTAAAAGAAAGTTTCAGGGCCTCAGAAATATTGTTCTACTACATTCTGGGCCATATGGCTTTGATTGATTTCCAGGTATATAGATGTATTTCATTAGATATAGAAAATTTGCAAAATAAATGTTTTCAAACAAGATTTAAATTTTACAAAAAGATTTGACTGTAAGTTGAACTTGACCAGTCAGTTCTTGCAGGAAATTTTCAGAATCTGAGAGTCTGTACCAGCCAGGATGCTCACAGGAACAAAGAGAACTTATATTTGACTACCAGCTGGTACTGAAAGTTTGATTCTGATAGAACATTTATGATCATATTGCAAGCCAACTATAAATAATTGTTTTCTAGTTTTGTTTCTTTTCTCTCATATATATTTATTTCAGATACTAAATACTCTTTCTTTTTGCACATGCTTTACTATACATTATGAGACTTATAGGCATATTTTAAAATAAAATATTAATTTTACGTTACAAATAGATACCTGTAAGTTATTTAAATTGTTATTTAAAGAATCTTTTAAAGAAAATTGAACTAAGGCTAGAACATAAATTAATGATGGCACATTGTAACCGCTTGGAAAATTTCTTGAGTTTTCCCCCTTGGGATTAGAACATGAAACAATGAGGAACACAAATAAGGAAATGACTTTGAAAGGAAAAATAAATTGTTATTATTACTCAAGTTCAATTATTATCTTCTTGGAAGGCAATGTGTTTTAAAACAAATTTAAATATTCTTAATATGTATTTCCTCCACATTTAAGTTTTACAAATTAAACATAAAGAAGGTTCACAGCACAGAATAGCTCCCATTTCAGCAGGGAATTCTCACCTTATTATATGCATTGTAACTGACCAGGGTATGGGAATTCTCCCGTTCATCTCTCAATGAGAAGGAGGACAAATGACTGAACGGTCCTGGGGTAAGACAGTCAGCATGGGAGAGGGTCTGTGGCTGCAGCAGGGACTTAGCAGGAGGATAGAGTTTGGTCTGATATAAAGGATGGAGAGAAACAGTCTTGTGAGGGACTGTCACATCCTGGGAAGAAGAAAGGCATAAAGAGTATGTTAGTGGACAAAAGTAAAGCACACTTGGAATTAGGTCTAAATAGTACAGAAGCTATGAAACTTTCTTTTAGAAAAAAAGTTCATAAACCCATGCTAAACACAATGTCTTACTAGTAAGAAGAAAAACTCTCCTCATACACAGGTCCCTCACAAGACACATGTTGTCTTAGTGTATTGCTTGTCTCTTTCAATAATTCCTTTCCACCACCACCTCCAGCCTCTTCTGCAGAACAAAACAAGGGGCCGCAGCGTGTCCTGAAGGATGCAAAAGATTGCTAACTTTTAAAGTGTTGAAGGGAGCAATGTTTCAAGAAAGGAGAGATACTACCTGAAGGAGATGATATGCAGTTAGAAAACTCTTCATTGAAGATGTAAGTAGCACTGGAAATTAATTCAGGGATGGTTGTGATTTGGTAGGGAAGAAATTGGGGTGGAAAGGGAAGGCACTGCAGAGAGTTAACATGTAAGCAGAGGTACATTAGTACTGGTTTAGTTGACAGGACAGTAAGTTGTTGTGATGGGTTGAGTATGGAAAAGGGAGCAGCGAAAGGTGAGTCTGGAAAGAATGAATGAGGTATGAATTCCAGGCCGTGTGTTGCTTTAGAAACTGGCAGTGGGATAAACAGATGAGCTCAACTGTGCAGAGGAGAGGTAAGGAGGCCTCAACTAGAGGAGGTCTGTGGCATAGAAAGGGGATGAATTAGAAAGACTTTGAGGAAGTAGGAGTGAGTAAATGAGGCCATGAGTGAATGGAACAAGAAAACCAGAAGAGTGAGAAGTCTTGAGCCTACAAAACAAAGTTACAAAAAGAGGTCGTGATGGTGGTTTGCTGTTGAGTTGATTCCAACTCCTGATAACCCTATATGACAGAGTAGAACTGCCCCAAAGGGTTTCCTAGGCTGTAATCTTTATGGGAGCAAGTGGCCAGGTCTTTTCTCCCATGAAGCCACTGGTGGGTTCAAACTGTTGACCTTTTGGTTAGCAGCCAAGTGCTTAACCATTGCACCACCAGGGCTACTTAAAAAGGGCCTACATATACGTATACAAAAAAGGAAATGGCTGCTTTTTTGCAGACATATAAGCTCCTTTTATGTTTCTGAAGTTTTACATATAAGAAAATAAATTGACAGTGATTATCCTATAGTCCTAAAACCCCTTAGGATCTGAACCTTATGACATGAAACCTGCTTTAGTCATCTTTGTGCTCTCAGGGTCAAGCACAATGCTGAATATAGTAGGTGCTTAATGCATTGATGATTGAATTAATGATCTAAGACCTATGTTTGAAAAATGCTTGTTTAATAACATAGTATTAGATTTATTCTTTTTTGTGAAGTTTCTTTCTTGATAATTTGCTTTTTAAACAGAGAGACAATTGAAATAATTTTCAATGAAATCATTTTTAGCTAACATGAAGACAGAATGATTTATGAAACAAGTCTATATTTTCAGCTCAAAAGGTTATTCTTTCTTACCTAGTCAGATATGTATCATTTTTATATTTTTAATCAACGGGTTCCAAACATGTTAATTTTTTTTATTTGGGAAATTTTATGCAGATTAGAAAATTATAATACCAGGTTTGTTAAGTTTATAGAAATGAAGGGTTTTAATCCTTTGTACTTTGGAAAGGTAATTAAATATGTTTATTTTAAATAGTTCCTTATTTGTTCTTCCAGTGTTTATTTTTATATATCAAGCAAATATAAATATACTTCCTTATTCCACATACACACACACACTTCCTATACAAAAGGAATATACTATATACAACGTTCCGCATCTTGTTTGTTTCACTTCACAACATTTGTTACACGTATTTCTCTATCAGTACATGAGAGCTATTGATCTCCTACCAAGAAACATTATTGAGTTATCTTACTGATTTTAATTGTCTTCTATTTGATTCTCTTGGAAGTTCCAGGTACATAGCCTAAAATATCAAATCACCTAACATAGTGATGTTTACTTTCTCTTTTCCAGTTTTAGACTTTTCATTTCTTTCTATTGTCTAACTGTATTGGCTCATACCCCGAACACTGTTAAGTAATAGTGGTGTTAGCGGCCATCCCAGCTCATTCCTGACTTCAAAGGCATGCTTTTAGTGTTTGCCCATTACAGACCATGTTGACTTTTGGATTGAAATAGATATGTTTTCATTTTTGTTTTATTTCTCAATCAAATATTTCATTATGTTATCAACAACTATTTACATTTCTTAAGCAATGTGAAAAGTGATTAATATGAAAACTGAGTAACAGACTCAAGTCTAGCTATGGTTAAGCACTTGGCTGCTAACCGAAAGGTTGGTAGCTTGAACCCACCAGCGGCTCCTCAGGAGAAAAGACCTGGCGATCTGCTCCTATAAAGCTTTCAGCTTAGGAAACCCTATGGGCAGTTCTACTCTATCCTACAGGGTCACTATGAGTCAGAATTGACTCAACAGCACACAACAACAACTTTGTTACTGATATTTAAAGATGCCTAGGAAAAGGTGCACTGAACAGAATCTCTGTTTATATTCTGGCTTCAGTTTTTCTTGAGGATTCAAGAACCTGTTCTGAGGATGTCAGGAGGCAGACTATAGTGATCAGTGGGAAACAGAGGGTTCACCACATGGGAGAATCTGGTGGGGTGGGGTTCTGGCCAATGGGGTCAGGGGCTGGGGGGTTCAGGGGAGGTGTTTAAAGAGGGTGTGCTTCTCTGTGCTTTATGCTTCTAAGCTCGCTATGACCAAGTAGGTCAAAGCTGAACATTCTGAAGGATAAGATGGTCTCCTCAACTTATCCAGGAGCAGGACAGGGAAGGGAGAGTTCTTTTTTATATTTTTCTAATTTCATTATTCACTTACGAATTTTTTGATAATCAGAGAAATTTGTCTGGACTATTTCTTAGTAATTAATAGGTTTTTCTTTGTGGATAAATATATAGTAAGATTTTGTGACGCTTTCACAGGCGTTAAAATGAAATAGTACTTTTTTTTTTGTAGAATACAGAGTCCAAATATAAATCTCAATAATACTTATTTTAGATAATCTATCTTTACATATTTTTTCCACTTAATCTAGCATAAACAGAAATTCAGTTAAAGTATTTTACCACTAATATATTTTCACTTTTTTTCTTATCCTATCTCTTGTTTCTGCCTTATGAATGTTGATGCTATATTTTGGTGTTTAGATACTCCTACTGGTTATATTTCACTGTAAATTTCATCCTTTCACATTATAAGGAGGAGGGGGTCTTATTTGCTTTCTTAATGATTGTTTCTGTCTGTTGTTAAGATCATAACCTCCCTTTCTCTGCTTGTGTTACCTAAAATACTGTTTCTTTCTCAACTGTTTTCAATCACTAAGTGTGTCTCAGTTTAAAGGTTGAATCTGGCTTATTATCCATTCTGGAAGGTTTTTGTTTTGTTTTGGTCCTGTAATTGGTGAGTAGAGATTATTTACATTTATTTCCACACTAAACCAAACTTTTCTAGACCAGATGTTTTCACAGGAGGCTCATATGGGGAAGGGACCACTCACTACCTGGAATTGTCCTTGTGACCCAGGATTTGAGGTGTGAGTTTGTTTAGCCTTCACTTCCCTTCAAATAAGAAAGAATATCAACTGTACAGTAGTTTACAAAGCAGCAGCATTTCTCTGTGTCCAGGCTGCTACAGAGAGAGAAGGCCTCCTGCAAATATGGTTTGCTGTGTGATTCAATGTATAGCCTTACCTTCCCTGTTTATCAGAACCAAATTACGTCAAGGCAGATTGTGTTGCCAACATACGCACGCATGCAAAGACAAGGGATTTGGGTTTTGCACATTAGGCTGTATCCACACATTCAGGAAACATGTTTGCTGACTCTACAATCCGAAGTCACTGTATCCTAGCTCCATTTCCTCCCAGGTGTATATCTACTCATTCTCCTCACTGCCTTTTGTGGCTGTTCCACTAATTCTGTGCTTTAGAGTTTTAGTTGTCGCCTAAGTGTTTGTATTTTAATAGGAATTTGTGTTTTTGCTTCTTCTTTTTTGCTTTTGGATGTTATTAGAATAATCAAAGGTAATTAACTGATGCTGGCTTTAAATTGCCGTAGTCAAAGAGGAATCTCACTTATATGTGGAAAAGAGCCCTGGTGGCACAGTGGTTAAGAGCTATGGCTGCTAACCAAAAGGTTGGCAGTTTGAATCCACCAGGCACTCCTTGGAAACCCTATGGGGCTGTTCTACTCTGTCCTATAAGGTCACTATGAGTCAGAATTGACTTGATAGCAACAGGTTTGGTTTTATATATACTCATAAGGCATCCTAAAGTTTTGTCACTTTATACTTTGCCATGAGATAACTTGGAAACTTCTTTATGGTCCAAACATTTTCATGATCATTCTCTGTCTCATTATTGTATTATACCAATTCTACTTCATTTTTTTTTTTCACTGAGAAAGAGACTTATTTACTTAAAAAAGTGCACAATACAAGACCTACCTTGTCACCATGGCTCATACACAGACACTCAACAAGCATTTGCATTTGTTAAATAAATTAACTTGGCTTGTAATACCAAAAAAAAAAACAAAACACAAAGCTTTATAAATAATGCAATGTTGTATTGGGTTTATGAATTAAAATCCTACTAGCCACAGTTTCTATTTGTCTGCTTCCTGTATAAGGAGCAAAAGTGACAAAATCTGGGTACGCTTGACTCTTCTTTCTTCACCTTTTTTTTTTTTAATTGGTGTCACCTCCCATTCTTCTTACAGGAATTCAGGAATACAAGCCTCTTTGCTCCAACTGAGAAGACTCTTCTCTCACTCACTTAACCTTGCTGATTGATAGACTGAACAGGGTGAACGACTTTCAGTCATTTGCATCATTTAACCAGACCAGTGCATTTAAAGCATTCATCTATCATTTGGGTACAAAAGCTTCAGAAATTAAACACACAGCTCAGCAAACAAAAGAATGAGGCAAAAGCTTAG